ATACTTTTTTCCCCTCACTGTAGCACCCTCCCCTCCTGTTTCGTGAACCCTCTTCAACTTGCAAGCGAAAGAAGAGCGCATGGCGGACACGGCTCCTCACGAACGGTGGGTAATTATCCAGCGCGAGCGGGCACACGGAGCCAGCAGCCGCCCCCCGTAACAGAATGAGACGTCCGCCCGTAGTCCGTCCCACCACGAGTAATTTAGTTCCCCGCCCGCCCTCCCTCCCCACCCAGCGCAAATAAATAAATAAACGTGCGGAAATGACTTCCCGAGATGAAGTGTCAGTCACGTTCCACGAAAAGGCAGCTGCCGCCTTTTCAACACACGGGGAGAGAGGGAACGGATGGGGGGGGGGAGAGAAGCGACCGAAGCCTCTTTCTCTGGGAGGTCCAGCTCCTGCTCGCCGTGACGCTCCCGAGATTCGTGAGCAGGGGGGGGGGGGGTGGTGGTGGAGGGGGGAGGAGGGAGGGGGGGGTGTGTGGAGGCGGGGGGGCTCGCACATGTGAGCACAGTAGATGTGAACTTAAGTATGAAACGGACAGGCAATTTTACAGGCGAATTACATTATTTAATTGCTTGAACCGACCACGGCCTTCAGATGCGTTTACCGTGTTTAACAGACATTACAGAAAGAGAGAAATATAAAAAAAATGTTAAACTGGTATGCAAGAAAATGTGAATTATGAGGGGGGGGGGAAGGGGGGTTTCCACGAATGTAACGACCAAAGTGATCAAACCGGTCATTTTTACTTGCATAAATATCTCCGTTGAAAAGGCCAAGAACGTAGTAAATATAAATAAATGGCATTTAAAAAAAAACGGTTTACTTGTGCGTCACAGTGGAATATTGAATCGAGTTTATTGAGCGTTCAGTCAATATATCAGAGCATAGGACAGCTCATCACGGAATCTTAAAGTGAGCAGCGTATTTTATCCAAATGACGCAGCACTGTCAAAAAACGGCTTGCAATAATTTTTACAAACCAGACAGTGGTATCATAGCGGAAACCAAAAGTGTCGGCATCATTTGTGCTTTCACCACTGGACACGGTAATGCGGTAAAGAGCACCCGCACGCATGACCGCGTCTCTGTGCGGGACTCGCACTCCGCGTCAATGCAGGGGGAGCTGCACGCACGAGTCGACTTTCTAAGAGTTCCACGTGTGTCCGGCAAGCACCACCCCAGCCGATGATTTCAGAGGAGGAGGAGGAGGGGGGGGGGAATTTTTTTGCATCGTAATACAAAGTCACTGACTTTGGTTAACAAGACCGATGACCGAAACGTGCACCGCCGACAGCTCTCGGACGTGTTCCCAAGTTGTTGGGCGCGAGGTTCCGACGTTTTACTCCACGTGCTGCGAGCTTCTTTTTGGAACCGAACTGCCAAACGCGAGATGAATGCGAAACCGAACAAAAGTGTTGGGGCCCCGCGGGACATCACCCTGCAGGTGTCACCGCCGAAGTGTGCTGGCATCAAACGGAACGACCGCCGAACCCTAACAACGATGCCTGCGGGGGAAAAAAATAATTAAATAAACACTTCTCCAGTCACCTTCTGGCTCTGCCAAGCATGCTGACAACACGTCTGAGGTCCACCCCGACCCGCAAGCAGCGGCAGCAGGTGCGCACTTACAGCAACAAAAAGAAACGCTGCGCTGTAATCTCTCTGCGAACAGATTGCGTCAACGTGAAGCTGGGGGACCGCCGACCGGCCACTCATTTGCCCGCGCTCGCCACGACCGTGCCCTGGCTTACCCCCCCCCCCCCCCCTTACTCGGCTGCTCTGTGACCGGCGAGGTTCAACGTGCCCGGCACAGGGCCCCGGTGTGTCGCGGTGCTCTCGTGCCGACAAGAATCCTGGCGCTTAACGAGGGCAAAGCCGGCGCAGGGCAGCGAGGGCTGCCTGCCGAGGAAAGGATTAATTTCTCGCTCGGTGTTTGACGCATCAGCATCGTATTCCGGGAGGTGCCACGTGATTCATTAGCCACGGCCACGGCGACCACATCAGAGATCGGTGCCAGACTGGAGCATATTGGCAGAAGACAGAGGAAAGTGGAAACAAATGATGACATTCGCAGTGGACACCTACTACGGGCTATCTGCCCATGGATGATGATGATGATGGCGATGGCGAGCGGAATACTGGATGATGTGGTGTGCCAGGCACGGAGATATTCCCAGGATCAACACAACCCGGAAAGATCCGGATACAATTAAGCCCTGCTGCCCGCGTGCTCAAGTGACACTTCGCAAAACCGCTAAGTGCATCGCTTGCTTAGCCAATCGCGGTTCACCGTCACGGGGATCCGATTCAGGTAGTTCATTCACTATCCCCGGAGCGTGTTGCAGGAAAATATGTATCGAGCTCGTACGGAAGTTTTTGATCAACGTGTTTCCAACAATAATCCATCTCCTCAAAGTGGCTTATTGTTCGTCACGTTTACAGTATATTAACCCGATTGTTGCATGAGAACGATTGACTTTCTTTCACTTAATAATGGCTATGACAGTACTGTTTCATGAAACTAACGTTGTACGAATTAACCATTAAAGATGTTGCTCCTTTGCACACAAGCAAGTTTTTTCGCACTATATCGATGCTGAATATAACTGCATGGGTTCGCATCATGGCATTATACATTTGAATAGAATGTATATTTAAGATAACATATAATGCTATGTAAGTGAAGCATGGTCAAAATAACCCCCGTAACCAACAGCGTGGCGAAGGTCTTCAACCAGCGGAGGACCGACAAAAGGGTCACCACGCGTGCGCACAACGCCGTTGCTAAAGATTGCTGTAAATGTCTACTATATCGCAGAGAATGACAGTCACTGGAAGGTGGACGGAGATCGGTTTTGAGAGACACACCCCAGGGTTAACGGCTTTGCCGATCTTCCCCTCGCAGCGCCACCAGTCGTCAGGAAGAACTGGCGTTGGGTGGGGAGGGGTTGGAAGGGCTGGCGCCTCGCTTGCGCACTCTGCTAGCGCGGCAGCTCCGCTCAGCGAGCAGCTGATGTCGCCCCCTCGTGTTTTCATTTTCCCGCCCGCACCGACTACAATGAATATATACCCACAGATATCTGCTGCCAAGAAAAATTTGGTGAAACCTAAAGTTGAAAATATCGTCTCGCCCGTCAGCGGTTACATAATTTTATGCTCTATCGGAAATGAAAAAAAAAACAAATAAATGTAAAATCTTCACAATATTACGTCGAATATGCTTAACAGCGTTACTGAATTACAAAAACCGTGGCAGGCGACTTTTTTTTCTCTTTCCGCCCGCAAATGGAGATGCAATATTGATTTAATCAGTCACACACAGACTTCGTGATAATATTTTCATGAAATTACGGCATAATGGTTGTAAATGAGTCGAGCGAAAAAGAGCGCAGTCAAATGTGAAACATTAATAGGAGCCCTAATGGGCACGCGTTGGCGTCCGCCGGGATTTAATGGCAACTCAAGACACGCGCATTCAGCGTTCGACGGCCCAGATAGAGACTAAAAGATGCGGTGCTCTTTTCAATTCCCAAGCACTGTGACCAATTGGAAATGACAAAATGCATTGTCCATTAAGGATTCTTCACGATCCCCCTCTCCGCACAGCTCGAGTGAAGCATGACGTCATCTCGCAAATGCACATCCATTCCCGACGCCCCAATGTCAGAGTCCCGCCGTCCCTCTCGCTGCAAGGAAATAATTTGCCCGGGAGGGAAAGCTCTCCGTCTGTTAAATACTGCATCATGCCAAGCTCCCGTCTCGTTTTTTTTTTTGGTAGCGAGAATTAATTTAAAAAATGGAAATCACTGTCGGTACCCCTGCTCGCGAAATGAAGCCACTAAAACATGTGTGACGGCTGGCGTTTTAATGCATTATCGGACGGATTGAGGTGGCTTTTTTACATCAAAAAACACGTATTCAGACACACAATGTTACATCGCGGCCGACGCGCGCAAAAGGTAATATTTGTTTGCGTATTCTGCAGGGCGATCCATTTCGAGATACACCAACTGACTTGTGATCTAATGATCCCCCTTCTTGCCTACATCAGGCGATTGAATAATGCGAAAGCGATGGCTCCATATATGATAGAACAGAGTGCTTCAATGGCCTAATACGTTGCATCGATACCAAGATGCAGGACGGTCACGGCTATGCGCCGCTTCTCGGTGGCTGTCCCAACAGTCTGGAACGCCATCCCTCTGCACATTCGCAGCATCACCTCAATTGTCTCCTTCAAGAGACACTTACAAACTCACCTCCACAACCTCGCTTCGAAGAACAAAACGCAAATTTGCGCGCGTTACAAATTGCATTATTATAATCGGTGGGAGACATGCGGTGGCTTTGAAATAATAATATCTCCCTATTATTTTATTGGGGGTGCCTCTGAACGGGTGGCCCTGTACTAGGGTGTACCACGTATTAAAGGCCGTGACGCTCGGTGCTCTGGCGTTTTAATGTTCCACTTGCTCGCGCTTCTCGGCAAGATGAGGAGACAAAACCAAACAAGAAAGCAAGAGGGGCGCGCACGGGGACGATTCTTACGGCAACTCCACAGACAACAGGGAACTCACGGAAACAACCAGAGAATGCGAAAAGTAAATGGCAATAATTGCAGCCCCCCCCCTCCCCCACCCACTGAACGGCGTTAACGCCGTGCAAGACCAACGATCGGGTGCGCGCGCGATACCGGGAAGAGAGCGGCGACGGCTTCAAGTGCAATGACGGGACGACATTGTGTCACCGAATGTTAAATTAGAGCCCACTGTACACGTGTCATTTTAAATCAATAACGCCGCCTTCACCCCCCCCCCCCCTCCCTTATCCGTTACCACACAGCTACAGCGCAGCACACCGGAATCTGCGTCTCCCATCCACCCATCTCATCAGTGAGGTGCATGTATATAGCATCCCCCATCAACACCCTCCCACATTGCCATCACCGCCCCCCCCCCCCCACCGCTCCCAGTGTGTGAAACGTCAACCCTACCTGATCAATGCAGTCGGCCTCCTCCTTCCCGCCGGGGAACGCCGGCGGCGGAGTGGCAGGCGTGAGGCTCACATCCGAGTCCTGGGGACGGGGATGGGCGGAAGCGAGTCATCGATTCGGGGCCCCCATCGAGCGCCGCGTTCAAACGGGTGAACGTGCGCGCGGACGATGCGTTGGCTCTGGCTGCCGATCGCCACGTATGTATGTTGAACTTCTTTGGCACCGTATGTAGCCAACCGTGCTGATCGGGGGTACACGGAGCACATCCAGCTTGGTTGTTGCCCGGCAGATGCGGCGTCTCCCCCGATTGCTTTGTTTTTATTTCAAGAGCCCAAGCGGGGCGAGTGACCTTTTAAGTTTACAGGCACGCGTAAAGTAAGCAACAGTGATAATTCACAGCCACCTTTTGTCGACCCACCATTGGATGAGTTCCTCACCAAGCTGTGTGGGTGATGGACAGTGCGGAGCGTTGAAATAAAAAGTAAACGTGACTGTGTATCGAGTTTGTTCCTGGCCTACTGTCACTTAACCCTACCCACAATGATCAGAGGGATGATATTTTGATTATTTAAAAAAACACCAGTGGCATGGGAGGCTTTCATCCATTGATGGACTGGGAATGGTTGGTGGCGCAGTGGTAATGCTTGCGTCTCACAGCAAGGAGGGCCTGGGTTCGGTTCCCGACTCTGTGTGGACTTTGTATGTTCTCCCCCTATTCTGCATTGGTTCCCAACGAGTCCCTCAGTTGCCTCCCATAGCTAAAAACACATTCACACGTTGTAAGTGGAATTGGGCAAATATCCCAATGCTCAAATATTACCTACAAATTTACTCAACTGGGATTGGCACACAGCGGCATCCTCATCATCATCGCCAGCCTACGGCAAACACACTTGGCAGTAACTTCCTAAACTGAGTGAGGCTTTCCTGGGCAAACAAGGGCAAGTAAATAAAAAATATATATTTGTATTCTTTTTTTACTGAGGAAGTGCCTGCAATGCCGCGAATGTTCTGCTCAGAGCACAGTGGGTGCTTTGCGGTAGCCGTTTTCTGTCTTGAGCGTGCACGCGCGTGGCATGACAATACCGCTCAGCGGCCAGCACGCAGCCGGGGCCTGCCCGGCGGAGATCATCGTTTCACCTTCATCTCTGGGCCGCCTCCATCCATCCCCCACCCCCCGTGTTACATGAGATGAGGGTCAGAGCAGAATAAGATGTCAAGCTGTGTGGAGAGGCCAACCGAGATCAGAAGAGATATATAAATAATAAGACATCTGTCCGCTGCGGAAGAACAAAACGCCAAGTGAAAAATAAACTGCAGCATCAGTATTAAATTGTCAAGAAAAGATATCCAACCTAGGGCGGGTTTCACAAAATGTTCCGCAGAGATGTCTGGCCATATATTAGGGGATGTGTGAACTACTTATGGAAAAAATATAATCAAGTCACTTGTTTTTCTTTAAAAAAGGCAGTATTGGATAAACGATCGTGGACCCGATGTGTTCTGCATGGACGTCACTAAGCGTGACGTCCATGCCAGCTTAAGTGTACTTTGGGGCCAGGTGTATGTATGCATGTTGAATTTCTTTCGCATCGTACATAGCCAACCGTGATAACCAGAGGTGTGGGGGACGGACAACGAACTAATTAAAACAAGCAGAACATGCCGTTCTTTATATATCATAATAATAATAAGTTGTTGCTCTTGGTCAATCAACTGCTAGTTGAAGGCTTCCTCAAAGCCGTGTGGGTTGTAGCGGTGTGGGTGGTCGTGGGACAGACCCAGGTGCTATGGGTTTAACGCAACCCCAACACGGCGGCACCAGCGAAACAAACATCACCTCATGTAGCACTCTCCGCAAGCGGAACAGCATCGTCTTGAGCGCCGTGCATTCGGCCATTATGTGCCTGTAGGTGGTGCCACGCTGCTCGGGGCTGCAAAGGCCCTCCTCCGACGACCAGGGCAGCTCGAGGGGGGAGCGGGGGTGACGGCTAGCCACTCGCGACGGGGGGCTCCCTCCAAGGGGGGGCAGGGAGCAGCCGTGGTGGCGCACGCTGGGGGAGCTGGGCGGGGGAGCGCCGTTCCCGCCGCCGTCTTCGGGGGTGGCCGGCGACGGCGAGGGAAGGAGGGAGGTCAGGTGGCTTGCGTGGGCCGAACTCGTACGCTGATGCGGAGGCCCTGCGGGGTCCGGCTGCTCCGCTCTCTCCGGCTGCGAGCACTCAGAGCGCGTCCGGGTGCGGCCCCTGCGCGGGACGGCGACGGCGGGAGGAGGGAGGAATTAAACGAAACGAGGAAGGCGCCACGCAGCTCTTCGAAGGCCGTGGGCGACGCTCGCATCACCGCCAGCGCCGACCTCTTTTCCTGCATGCAAGCCGACGCCTTTGCTCACTCGCTCGCACGGCAACAGTGGCTCTTTGATCTCATCTGTCGCAAATAAGTGAATGAAATATAGCCGAGGTTTGTTTTCAGTCTCCAGAAAGACAAAGATCTTCTAGGAAGCCTCTGCCGGCTGCCACGGTGCTGTTAGTGAGCACTTTCTCAGGCTGGCGCAGCACATAAGGCGGGTGATGTGGCCACCGCCACGCCTGGCTGGCTTTGTCTCCCCCAGTGCCAATGTTTACGAACCACACCAGTCACGTTGAAGAGAAACAACAAAATAACAAAATATATATAAAACAATAAAAAATTCTCACGACGTTTCGACCATAACTCAAACGGTCATCATCAGGTGTGTCGGTTTGATGATGACCGTTTGAGTTATGGTCGAAACGTCGTGAGAATTTTTTATTGTTTTATATATATTTTGTTATTTTGTTGTTTCTCTTCAACGTGACTTTACCGAAAAAACTAAGAATATGAATTACTGCAGTCACGAATGCTTTAAATCAAAATTTGAACCACACCAGGTTGAGTTTAATGTTGAGTTGACCTAGGGGGAGAGCCTAGGAAAAGGTTCGGATATCACTCGCCACTGATGTTAGCCGTGGCTGGTAATCAAACTCTGGTTGACGGGTTGATAGCGCAGTGCGCAAACCGCTGCGTTATCGCGCCCCACATACGAACAGACACAAAGATAAAGATCCCCCGTTTAGCCTTGAACAGATTGTTAGGGCAAGTGCTGTTAGCGAGCACGTATTAAGGGCAGCACTGTGCCCAAGAGGGCGAGTTGACCCTGCACAATGCCCGGCCACCTTTGTCTCCCCACTGCTGATGTTTACACACCGCACCAGGCGCTCTTTTAAGGATGAGTCGACATATGGGAGGCCCAGGAACGGTTCAAATATTCACCACTATTATTGGTTACGAGCGGAAGCTGAAATCGGGTCGCGAGGTTCAAAGCGCAACGCGCTAGCCACTGCGCGACCGCTCTCGCGCAATACATAAAAGACAGACGCACACACGCATTCACACATGCACGCACACACGCAATACAATATCCCATCAATACAGTCGTGTCTACAGTGATCAACGTGATGAATGAGCATGTTAATTTAAATTAGGCAAATATGGAAAACATTTCCACAGGCTTCATCGTTGTCATAAGCGAGAATATTAAGTGGCATATTAATACATGCATATGAAAGGATTGAGCAAAAAAATATTACAGATGGTAATTCGGTGTAATTAAGTCGGAAACCTTTGTGCGTTCTCTGTCCAGCGCTGGAGATTCAGTTGCCGAATGTCCCCAGGGCTTTGCAGCGGCTCAATGCCACCTGGAAACAATGGCACAGCCACGGCGAGCATGAGGCATGAAGGAAAAATGACAATTCACGTGATTTTGCAAGATCTAATCCGGGAACAATTCTCCGCTGTTTAATGACAACAAAAGCGCACACCGAGCACACCCAGCGTCCGTTGCGTACGACGACAGTTGTTAGCGTTGTCATACAAAAAAAAACAGATGAGTGTAAATATAAACATTTTCCAACACTTTTTTTTTTTACTCAAATCTCTATCGAGCACCCTGATAATGCAGCCAATTCCATCGTTTCTTGGCCCCTCGGAAAGAGATTTATTAATAAGCGTGCACGCACGTGCAGGGTGCTGACGGAAATATGGTGACGAGGCAGAAAGCTGACGAAGCTAATCAGCAGTGCCAGTCACGACAAGGAGTCTGGAACCAAGTTGGTTCACGACGTCCGATATTTGTCCAAAGCATAAAGTTTAAATCCACAGCCAATACCTCTCAGAATGCATTTGCCGAAAGAGGGTGGTGGAAAAGGCTCCCAAAGCTAGTGCAGTGACACAAAGTCAGTATTACACGCATGCACAAATAGCGCCACGTATAAAAGCGGCCCATTAGCACCCGACGCTTATATTCGCCTTGCGTTTTTTCCCCCCCCCCACATTTAATTCTGCGCGGGCTACTGGCGCCTGCATCGTAAGGCGACGAATCCGACGGGAAAGCTCACAGAGCGGCGTGGCGGCCAGACGTGTCAGAGAAGAACGGCATGTGGGGGGAAAAAAATCCTACAGGTGGCCGCTTTATCCTTTAAGGGGGCGCACTTTCTCCCACACACTCTGCAAGATGTTGAGCGCCACGGTGGCGAGATGTTAACTAACTCGGCTGAGAAAGGTAACATCTCTGATGCCTATTTATTTGGAGTTTGCGGTGTCTCTCTCCCCGTGGTTGCGTAGATTTTTTTCTCCGGGTCCTCCGCTTTTTCCCCTCGACATTTGCAATCAACGTCACGCGTTTAGGAGTATTTGGCTGCTATATATTTCCACGTGATAAGCCACTTCATGGAGCTATCAACTGTGGCCAGGTCACTTCTGAAAAAGAGCTATATAGCTCAGTGAGCTATACAGCTCAGTGAGCTTAAAGGTCGAGGTCTGAGCGTGGCGGTGTTCCACTCCAGCGCTGTCCTCGAGACAGCCTGATCCCTTCACCTGATGAAGGCTGCTTGTGTTGTGGCCGAAACGTCGTGAGAATTTTATTGTGTTATTATATTTTATCAATTTTATTATTTTATTCTCATTCTACGTGACTTTACCGAAAGAACCAAAGAAGATGAATCCTGGCAGTCACGAAAGCTTTAAATCGAAAAATAAAAATCGTAGTTAGTTTAGTGTGTCGCAAGACAGTTTTGAAGCGATAATTTTTATTTTACTTCGGCTCAATCAAATGTATTAAAAAACAAATGTAATGACGGTTTGTTTACTCATGCAGTCCATTGCTAAACAGACAGGTGGAGCCCATCGGCCTGTCATATCTAATACCATTTGAGGAATTATTCAGGGACTTCAGAACAAGGATAAGGCAGAGGGTGTTCCAGATGTCCGCCTTGAAGTCACCACTAGCACCGCGAAAGTATAAAGTTATCCCAGAGGGGATAACTATGGACATCATCAAAAAAGTGAAACCAGCCTCTTGGTTCAAACTTAGAGGAGGTATTTATGAAATGTTTACTCAGCGATGATAGTGCCTTCATTTTAGTCTGATGGCCTCTATGCTATGGGAAGGCTCTCATCCAGAAGTGGATTGACACAAGTAAATGATTGTTATTAATGATTCAAATTAATCCCTTGCAATGCGAATCGGGACAACGCAATTACATTCGAAACCTTTGTTAATTTCACACCGTGAGTCTTCATCCAGATAACATTAAACAGAACGAGGATAATAGTTTTTATGTAAATTTAATTGTGATTTATTGTCACATGACTAAGAGGCATCCCTGGGCCCATAAGCCGAGCTCCGTTTGATATAACCATTTCACCTAAGGGGATATTTAATTTTCTGAACCGTCGCTATTAATAAAGAGACTATGGACAATTATAGAAAAATAATTAAGAGCGAGTGCCAGCCTAATCATTTGCTGTAGGACCCGAGGAAACATCACTGTGGGGCATCTGCCAGCTCCATAGCTGCTGCTACCACTGCTGTTACTACTACCGCTTCTCGAAACAAAGAGGGAAAACGGTGGGAAATATCTTCCACCCGTTCCAAAAATAAATGTTCTCTTGAGACGAAGAGCCCTGTGAAATGAGCTTGGGCCTGAAACATAGCAACGGCTGCTGCCTATCTCTCCTATTTCAAAAAAAATTATGATCAACGCGTCCGTCAATACCACTGTGCGGCATTAACAGAAAACTATGTAAATAATAGGCGACATTTCAGGCAATGGCCCATATTTCCTCTCCACTGTGGAGGAGGTAGTGGGTTCAATCCCAACCCTGATGCCTGCTGTATATTTGAAGTTTCTCTCCCCGTGGTCGCGTGGATTTTTCTCCGGGTCCTCCAGGTTTTCCCTCCACATTCATAATCAACAGAACACATTTAAGAGTATTTCGCTGCTATAAATTTCCGCATAAGCCACTCTGTTGAGTTATCATTTGTGGACAGGTTTGCTTATGAAAAAAGAGCTACATAGGCTCAGTAGAGGGCCTTACCCGGTAAAATAAAATAAAAATTGCGAGTTATTAGCCGTGAAAAGCTATTCAGAGGAGCATGGTGGCACGGTGGTGAGTGCAGAGAGGAACCGCCAGGGAGAAGACTGGGCCACGTGCCCCACCACGCGGGGCCACCGCGCAGCAATCTGTTGACCTTCTTGTTGGAAAACAAATCAGTGTTAATCTGCCCCAACGCCGATCTGACAGGGAAGTTCGTAGCAGCATTCCTTCATGGGATTTGGGACGGTAAATCAATTCAATTAATCAAAGGATTGAATTCTGTAAATCGATATCATTGATGAATTAACCTTCCATTTGAATTAACTCTTTCATCCATCTATTACCCTGAGAATGCACTAACACAATGCAAGTATGACAAAGCAATTGTTTTGACTTTGATTTTTCATGACGGAGTTACTAAAAGCATCTCCATTGGCAAAAAAACATTTGGACCACACGGAATCAAGTGGTGGCACGGTGGGGAATAAATTCATATGCACGTGCTTTGTGGGGCTTCTTAAATTATCTCAGATTCTGTAAACGAGCAGAGCACCTGCCAAACCCTGAGAGCCCGAGAGAACAAAAAATAAATACTATGCCTCCCCATCTAATAGCGATCCGAAATTATCAACCTTTTGGGGACTTTTCATTCCATTTTCAAAGTGGCTGGAAATCCAATACGCTTGTTGGCAATTTTGTCCAATTATGCTGCTGTGCCCTAAACCAAAGTATCTGAAACAGAGGGCCTGCATTATTGGATTCATGCAAATATCATCGGCAGAGGCGAATCAATGGCCGGGATACGCCCCCTGCTCATGGCCCAACCCGCCTGCCAAACACCCCGTTCCCCGTGCATCAATTAAGCCCATTGGTCACTAATTGAAAACAAATCCCCACGAGCATTCTCCACAATTAAAATAGGTATTGACAAAACGGTCCGATTCGGACGAAGGCTGACAATCCATCAGTCCAAACCTGCCGTCTCCAATTCGGTGGACAGATAACGATGGAATTGGGGTGCGAGTAGGGAGGGCAGGGGGGGGGGGGCGTGTTTGTGTGTAGGCTATCTTTGAACACGGGGAGGTGAAAAATAGCAAGGACATCGCTAGCTTGTACAGCGGCGCGAGGGATAAAAAAAGGACCCATTACTCAAATTAACACGGTGCTGCAGTGTTGGGAAGAGGAGGACAGAGAGAGTGTGCCAGGATAGGAACACCGAGACGGGATTCCCTGTGATCCTGAGATTGAGCCCCAGGGCTGACAAGCGACGTAGGAGCAGTCCAGGTCCTGTGTTCAGGAGATTTCATACGCGCAGTGAATGTTACGGGTCTTAATTCAGTCACCTCTGCACGTCAAAAAAAAAAGCCCGCCTTCAATTTGCAGTCACATTCGATTTAACCGTTCTTAACTCTTAATGTGGGAACTCATTTAAGCGTTCAACGGCAGCACTTTTGCCATTCGGGGTGAAAAGAAGAAGGGAGGCGGTGCGTGGAACAGCGCTGTGTGGATCTGGGCTGAAACGGCGCCAAGCTCGTGGCTCCTGTGAGGATACACATTAACTACGGTGCACCGTGCTTCCTTCTTCCAGTTGCTGTAGTCCTTACCCCGCACCGACGATTAGCACGGTTGGCTACGTACGGTGCGAAAGAAGTTCAGCGTACACACGTACGTACAGTGACAGGGCCGAGCAGTAGCGCGTTCGCCGATTGTTGGAGAAGTTCACACTTCGAATCCAGCGGCCGCCCTGCTTATTACTACCGGTTTAATGACCATCTTACTATGGGTGTAAAGACCATCTTACTATGGGTGTAATGACCATATTACTCGGGGTCTAATCACCATATTACTACGGGTGGAATGTCCGTATTACTACTCGTCACCTGTTTCACAGTGGAAGTTCATGATCCCCTGATGCAGTGTGCCAGGGGTCAGCGTCCACATTTGCCAAAAAAAAAATACGCCGCAAATGACTAGATTGGTATCACACACAGCAGCGATTTATTGCCTACTGGCAGACTAATGCCCCGGGTCACTCTTGCAAGTAAGACTCTATCCTGGTCTCTGTGTTCTCACCTTGTTAAAGAAATGACAATAGTTACTTCCATAATGGGCACTTTTCCAAACGGCCTTTTGAGTAGGCCAAGATGTCTACATCATTAGACCTCCTTTGCCAGTACCAAAATGTAATAATAGGGTTTTTCCCCTTTTCTTTTTCTGGCAACAAAACTGAAACCAGAAAAAAGGGGAAAAACCCTATTATTACATTTTGGTACTGGCAAAGGAGGTCTAATGATGTAGATGCTCACCCATAGCCCTCATTACTTTGATAGTGCATTGTCTTTGAGCTGTACGCCTTTTGGCGTCATCTGGTCCAGCACCAATTGGGTCGAGGCTCAAAAGAAAGCCGTCCCTTGGTGTGGACCAATCAGTTTCAAGGACAATGCATATATTATCATAGTATGTTTTTTGTTTGCATTTTGACTGCAGGTATTGTGGCTAATGCAGACATGAATCCTCGTAAAAAGGTTTCAGTTTTGCTGCCAGAAAAAAAAGGGGAAAACCCCTATTGTTAGGCCAAGATGTGTTCGAGAGTGGCGTTCAAAAAGATGAGAGTGGCATTTTTAGGCATGGTGATGCGTGGTTGCAATCCATCACTGCACAGGTGGGGTTGGTGGCTCACAGAAAGAGGCCTCTGTGCGTGGTACACGGATCTGCTGTGCTACATGTGGTTGCCTACACAAGAGGATGGAGCAATGTGATTATTGACCTTTACATACAGATTTCTCTGGGTACAAATGTTTCCTCCCACGTGTATATATATATAAAAAAAATATGAAAAATAAGAATTTCCTAAATATCCTGTGCAGGTCCTGCTACAAAGAAAGCGTGTTGAGACACGGTGCGGATTGCACACTGCTAAACTGGTGTCACTCGCTCACACAACAACTCACTCACTCCCTCACCTGTGAGCAAGCTCAGCCCATTCAGCGATAGTTCAAGGTGCTCCGAGTCAAGCATGAGGTCATCCTCATCGAGCTCCAGAGAGCCCAGACTGTGCAGCATGTCCTGTACACACATAAGAGCGTGGGAGAAGACAGCAAGACACGTGCACAGAAGCGTTGGAAGCGCTGGCACCACGTAACGAACAAAGACCCTTCGCACCCAATAAGAGGAGCCCTCCCTCGACTCCGTATTCTACGCAAAAGGTCCAAGGCATCATAGAAATCGAGCCGTAGACGTTTTCGCACTTTTTTTCCGTGAAAATTTTTTTTATCTTTTAATGCCGCACTTTTTTTTTTAAACTTATTTTCAGCTGCACTGACCGGGGATGCATTCTGCAAGCGCCACGCAGACCACAAGACACGAGTGGCTGACTGGCCGCTGGCCCGCGAGGAGGAAGGGGCGGGGGGGGGCGGATGGGGGGGGGGATAGGGGGGAAGGGAACACTTGATCCTGCTGATGGACAGGGATGTGAATTAAATGGCAAGAAATTGCCTGCGCAGGGTGCACAGCCGTTGTGCTATGAGAAAAAAAAAGGGGGACATCATCAAAGGTTATATTTTCTTTTTAAATATTTTAAGTAGAGCAATAGAAGTTCACGTCAGTCACGAAACCAGAAAGTACATATATTTTTTTTTAAAACGCCTGGCGAAGACGGCGCAGAGGCTTTTAACGTGGCCACGCGTGCAGGGAGAGAGAGAGAGAAAGGGAACGTTGCTCCCAGCTGCGCGTGATGCACAACGCGACTGAGCCCACGGGGTTAGAAGGCCGCCACCGCCACCCGGTGGGCAGAAGTGGCAGCACAGCTCCCAGAACCCAGGCATAGGATTTCTCACTTGAGCATCAGATTCAGAATATTCATTTGTACTGGAGGAATCCGAAGTTCAGTAGTTTTCACAGATGTCCAGTAGACCTACAACTGCTGGACTACTACTACTGTCTGTAACTCAGTTATCTGGCGGTGCTTGCTGCTGCGTTGCAAGCGATGCATGAGCACAATTAACAAAAGATAAACCCCACATTCGTCAATAGCACTGCGGCATAAAAAAAAATGTAATAGGCGACGTTTTGGGCAATGGAGCTTCTTCACAGCGCATTGATATACTATGAAGAAGACCGCTGCCCAGAAAGCATTGTGATTTGACGAAGGACCATCATTGCCTGAAAATGCGCCTGTTATATATTTAGCATTTTCACGCAAAGTTATTGACGTACGCGTTGAGGTTTTTTTTTTGCATTTGCCTAATCATTTACACCTCTTTGGTCTGCCAAGTGAGACGTTATTTGGAGGCGAAAGGTGGCATGCAGGTGGCACGTGATGTAGAAACACAAGGCTCGAACGCCGTTCCTCTTGAATCCACCTTCCGCTTGTCATTGCACGGTGTTACGTTGTGGGCAACAGAGTGCGGCGCATCAAAATGCACCGTTCTACTGTACTTCTACACTCCCGAGTCTACCCTCCCAGGCCTCACCGCACTGGCCAGGATGGTGAGAAGCGCCGAGTTGACTCCCACGACTGAAGGTGGCACGTGTGGGAGGCCTTCGCCGAGGGCTGCAAGTTACCGTTACAATTCAATCAAAACGCAGCGGCGATGCTGGTGGGCACATCGCAACGACCCAATAAACGTCGTTGTGAAGTTCACACGGTGACACTTTATCCAGAAGACAAAACGAAAACGTGACTCATAAAAATTTAAAAGGCACCGCCGGTGCGGTCGGTCCCTCCGCCTTTCGCCCGCGTCTGAACTCATCGGCGTCCTGGGGCCAGCTCGGCACGGCAGCGGGGCAGGCGAGCGACGGCGCGCGGGCGCGACCCACCATGCTGTTGACTCCAGAGGAGGCGAAGCTCTCGCCGCGGTCCCTCCGGTCCTCGTCGTGCTGCCGGTGCCGCGACGCCGGCACCGGCATCGCAGCCGCAGTAACCGCCACGCCGCCGCCGTCGTCATTGTCGTCGTTTAGCGCTCCGTCTCCCTCCGAGCCCTCGGACAGCCGCCGCAGACACTCCCCGGCCTGCGCCCTGCCGCCCGCTGAGGAGTCACGCGCCAATCGCACGACGAGAACAAGCGTCAGGTTTAGGAGACCTCGGCAGGTTGTTTTCAGGAGATGCTTGGGACGGAGGGGCGGCCGGTGGAGAAGCAAAGAGGGAAGTGCGAGGAGACGGTTCAATCTTCGCTCGCGCTGCTCCACTTTGGATTTCCCTCCAGCGCTCTTTGAACCTCGCTCAATGCAAGAAACGTGTTAACGCTGATCTATTTTGCAGCTTCAATCGTGCTGTTTGTTGCTTGCCGCTCGGCGTTGTGGGAATTCGGAACCTGTGCTCAGCGACTGTATTTTAAAAAAAAATAACAATAATCGACTGCCTCAAGCGCGTTCAGCTCGCCTTGCCGTCAATTTCCTTCTCCACTCCCCAAACCCTACACGCCGAAGCAGCCAATCAGGCAGCCCGATACTGTCCTGCGAGAGCTACACGCAGTTAATTGTCAGGCGTGTGGCTCCCTTACGGGGGGAAGGGGAGGGTCAATAGCAGTGTTGGGAGTGGGCAGAGCAAAAGGAATGGATCCGCAGGCAATGCTGAACACAACTCTAATAGGCTCTGCCTATCTCGTGTTTGAGCTGTGAGGCCATTATACGTGGTGTCGACTGGGTTCCCCCCCCCCACCACCCCAGCTGGACGACGAGAGCTCAGAGAGTGACCGCGTGGGATTGTCGCGCTCCGTGCGCGGGGCCCCTTTGTTGGTTTACGCTGCATCACGAGGCGCTGTCGATGCACGACGTGCCACCGTGCACGGTAGCCTGTGTGCGGGCCAGCAGCCGAGTTGACCAGGGCACCGCGCTGGCCAGGAGATGTTCACTACTTCACCTGGTATAGAGGACGGCATGCCTGTCGGCATGTTCTCTCCGCGGTCGTGTGGATTTTTCTCCCGGTCGTAAAGGCTTTTCCCTCCACCTATATAAGCATGCATTTACAGTATTTGGCTGCTATCAATTTCCACATGATAAGCCACGATAAACATTGGGGTGGAGGGGAATACAAATTTAAGCGAGTTTTGCTTTGAAAAATCGGTAGGCAGTAAGACGGTTCCATCATCGGCAGCTTGCCACGCAAAACAGGGTTCGGCGAGTAGGCCGGAGTGCGCGCAAACTTCCGCTCGCCCGAGTTTCCCCGAACGGATCAATCGCGGCAGCGCAGAAGGACGGGCGAGGCTCCCCGCTAATGCGGGCTCCGCCCACAGCCGGGAGAGGCGCGAGCGACCGCGGCTTTGACGGCTCGAACATCCGAGACCATGCGCCAGCGATTGGCGTTTTTTGTTTCAGTCGTGTATCGAGTAACGTACAACTCGATTGGCCATGTGAGGACCAACGCACTGTCTGGCTTTCCGAGCCATCGTACACACTGGAGTGATTTGCACACACCGACAGTTTACCAGCTCAATGAAGCACTTGAAGTCACGTGGTGCCTAGGTGAAATGGTCGCGCGCTTTGGTTTTGTATTTGTTTTTATATATGAGCAGACCAACTGCGCAGGCTACTAACCCTCCCTCCATTTCACTACAATCTGAGTGTCACAACAGCCGGCACACGACCAGTCCTACACACCTGTTGTGACAGGCATCGTACTGACAACCACATGAACCACTGTTATTACATCAATTGTGTGTGCTAGGGAAAACGACGCCCCTCCTCTTACATCCGCGCGGTACAACGTTCGGGTCAACGAGGCCTCTGGTGAACCGTCACGGTCACAAGCGGCACGGTAGCGACGGCGGCATGTGTTTACCCTTCAGCGGAAGAACTCTGTGCGGAAAGCCGGCGTCTCCGCCAGGGTCCGCGCCGGGTCCCTCCACCGCCCCGGGCGCCTCGTCCCAGCACGCGGCCGCCACCGCCACCTCTTCGATGTGCAGCTCATGGGCCACGCTCCACGCCAAGCTCTCGGGGCCGCTCTCCGTGCGCCGGGGGTCGACCTCCCGGGCGCCGGCGACGTCCCCGGAGGGGGCCGGCGCGTCCGCCGCCGTCGGACCGGCGCCAGCGCCGACACCGCGAGGGTTGGTCGCGGGGCGATGCGCCGAGCCGCCCTGGTAAAAAAAGCGCGATCCGCCCACGGCACGCCCGTCGCCGCCGGGCGCCGCGGCTTCCCTCTCCGCGGAGCGAGTCTCGGCGACGAGAGGAAGGCCGCGCCGCGACGGGTCCGCCCTCGCCTGTGCCCTTCGCGGGGACTCCGGGCTGGCGGTGCCGACGTGCGGCACAGACGCTCCCGGGGCGGCACGGTTACGGCCGTGGTGCCCGTCAGTCGGCGCTGCCGCGGGCTTCGCGATGCAGCCCCGCGCGTCGTCATCGTCCGCTCGGTCAGCGCCGGCGTGCGCGTTGGCGTTTTTCATCGCCGATTGATTGGCGGCGTTCGGCCCGTCCGCTCGGTGGAGCCGACGCGGACTCTTCCCGTCGCCGGCTCGGGGGGCCGCATCGCCGTCGGCATCGGCTTGGTTTCTCTCCCAGACGTGGCTGGAGGTGCTCTGCGTCTTCACGATAATGTTCTGGAAGACGGAGCTCTCCCGCGACCCTGTCAGGCTCCACACCTCGCACACGTTGTCCGCCGACGCCGTCTTCACGAACCTCAGCGGCCTCTCCGCGGCCGCCTCAAGGGAGTCCACGCCTGGCGACCGCTCCTCCTCCTCCTCCCCTTCTACCGGCGCCGCAAGCGCCGGCGCAGCGACCCTCTCCTGGAGCTCCCGAGGATCCGTTTCCTCGGCCAGCTCCAGCAAGGGAAGCGCCACGGCGGCGTTGCGGTAGCCCGTCATCACCGCCTTGTCGAACTCTCCCGAGTTGCGGTTGGGCCGGATGCAGCTGCGGAACACGCCGCGTGTCGCCGACGTGAGCAGCGACTCGCGGGCGAACGAGTCGGAGAGCGACCGCTTCACCTTCTTGCCGCTGCGCTCGCCGCCCGTCGGGAAGCGGAAGCCTCGGGAGAACCTGGACCCCGAGGCCGCGTCATCCCTGCTGTCCACGCTGCTGCTGCAGCGGCTCGACTTGGACTCGAGGGTGGCCGAGTTGGACCCGTCACGGGGCGACTCGCAGAAGCTGAACTCCCGCTCGCCGCTGCCCATCGAATCGCGGTTGGCCGCATCGCCTCCCATCGGCCGCATCGGCACCATCGTGGGCGTCGCCACCGACGCCGCCGCCGTCGGGGACGACGGCGTCTTCTTCCTGCTGCTCCGGAGCGCAAACGACGGGCGCCGGAACAAGCTAAAGCGCTTGCCCGCCGAGTCGCCTGTCCCGGCGCTGCCGGCGATGTTGCCGCTGCCGCTGCTGCCGTTGCTGCTGGTCTTCCCCGACGTGGAGCTCGGGCCCGAGTCAACGCACAGGGGGCTGCTACCGCTGCTCGCGGACGGCCGTGCCGGAGAGCGGCGCGTCAGCCGCGGCAGACGAGAGGCCAGTGTACTTTTCTTGTGGTCTTTCACTTGACCCTCCATCGTTGGTCGCAGAGTTCGCGTTGGGGGGCCTGGCGGCGATGGGATTTTTTTGTTTGTTATATAATACTACGACGCCTCGTGTTCAGCAGCTCCACTCCCACCTGCGGGATAAAGAATAACAATTTGCCGCTTTTAATTAAATACGTTTGGAGGAACAGCAGCACAAGCCACGGCAACAATGATTTTAATTGTATATCAAATATGATAACACGGGAAAAAAGAAGAATGTAATCGAGTTGTCCGGGGAACAGCCCCGAGAGGACTCTCAAAATCGAAACATTTGGTCGTTTGTCCCGCGACCAATAACGTCGCGTGCATCAAACAAACGGAAAAAAACTCAAGTCACTTAGCGGATTAGAGAGACTCAGGGGATCCACGTTGGCGGCGCTCACCTGAGCCCTCTTACGAGCCGCCCGTCGCACATTACGGAATTAGGCCATGGCTCCCGGGCAGCGCTTACTCCGGGTCGCGCGTCATCTCCACGCGAACCACGTTTACGACGTCAAGGCAACCGCACGTCAGCACATCGCGCTCCGGTCGGTCACTCTGCGAAAGAGGAAGTGGGGGGGGGAGGCGACGTCAATGAGCCGGTGTCAGGACTTTTAGCGCGACGGATTGCGCCGCGTCGCAGCCAGAGCACGTCAAAGAGCCCCGGTAACGTTCCGGCCTCTACCATCGGGGGCCACGCGGTGGCGAGGATCCTATCCTCTGCCTCGGATTATTTACTTACAAAGCTGACTGCAATAGCGAGGCGTGCATTCATTTCCGTTCGTATATATTTTTATGACGCACAAGCAGGCCTTGCTGGTGTGAATACAGGAATGAGCGGCTGCGGGGGGCGAAGATATTCATCCGTGAAATAAATACGGGGTATGTCCATCGCCGTCTTTTTCCCCATGACAATACGAGCGATGAACGGGCGAGTCCGCGCGTCAATACCCCCCCCCCACCCACGAAGGACATTCAAACGCGCGGCAACACGGCACGGCAAGGACCGCAGCACTTTCACGCCGTAAGCCTTTGTTTTTAATTCCAAGCCTCCCTATTCGGAGAGAGAATGGGCCGTGGATAATGCAAATCCTTCTAAAAGCAGAAACACATTTTGGCACTTGTGCCGTGGACGCAAACACAAATGCCGAAACGACAACTTACGGAGACAAAAGGGTTATTCCAAAGGCTTATTCCGCACTCTATTACAGACTCTTTTAATTTCCTGCTCGTGCGGGCTTTTGAGAACAGAGCCGTGCTTAGCTGGCCACATTTTGCCTTGTGAGATGTATGGCTGCTTTACGATGGGCAAGTTGTCATGATACCCTGATCCACAGTAGGGAGCTAATGCAGGACTCAGCGTTGCGGTGTCTGTCAGTTACGGGGAACTCAGTTAGCGATTCAACCATGTATGTATGTATGTAAAAATGTCACCATCACCGATGTGGAGCAGGGGATTCGACCCTCTCCCCTCCCACAATGCCTCGCTCCGTTTGTCTCTTTCCCTGTCTCTCCTCATGTCTCTATCCTCGTATGCCAGTGTGTCTCTCCCTGTCTCTACTCATGTTTCTCTCTCTCTGCCTTCGCACGTCTCTCTTTACAAGTGTCTTTCTCTCCTCGTATTTCTGGTGCAAAAGAGAACATTTGCTCCAAAAATTCTGACCGTGACTTTTAAAATGTGGCGCTATACTCTCACTAGCTGTGCACATTAATTATTTCATATGGGTCTACATATCCATGAATGTGCTCGTATTGATTTCCCACCAGCTTGTTAACAAAAACAAAGGCCCCCTGTATAGCCTGAACAGACTGTTGGGGAAAGTGCTGTTAGCGAACACCTATGAAAGCCAGAACGGTACGCATGAGGTTGGGTGACCAGCACCACGCCCGACCGCCTTTGTCTCCCCCAGTGGCGATGTTTATACACTGCACCAGTTACTAATTTCAGGCTGAGTCGACCTCGGGGAGGCCCAGGACCGGTTCAAATAATCGGGTTCGTAGCGCAGCGTGCTAACCGCTACATTAACGCTCCCCACCTGCTGGTTTGCAGCACCAGGTTCAGGAGCATAACACCGATGAGCAGATGCAATGCCATTGCTGTGCCAAGGCATGATGTAGTCCATGAGCCCACATCATATATATCACTTGCAGGTATCACCTGGCAAACAACAGCGAATTGAGTGATAATTAACCATTTGAAACGAGTGTGTTATCAAATAATTCACTCTCGTTAGCGGTACAAATAAATCGGTATGACTAAAGTTTTGCTACTTTAGGTGGTACCAGCTTCTGCTCTGGCCCATGTGATGAGTTTGCGGTTGTGATGCGTTTGCAATAAACGTTTAAATGACCGATATGGCTCCAGGATCATATTCCACAGGGCAGTCAGTAATCATTAGTATAATAATGAAGTGTATCTTCACTTTTAAGCACAGTACGAAATCCAATTAGGACTGTGTTTCAGATGCAGATGATTTGTTTAACTTCCTTAATATCGGGTGATGGTGCTTATAGTTTTCGCGTTTGTACCAAACCACTAGCCGCATCCATTAATGAGCCACTTTTGATGAAATCATAATTAAATATCTCCAACGCGATACCTACCATAAATCATAGTTTCCTGATCCGTGGAGCTGCCCAAATGCAAAAACGCTTTGCCAGACGAGGCGGCGTACCAAATTATTAAACCGTGTGCGGATTACTCTCCCACCAAATTGTTCAACCTGTGGATTATGCTCTCTCACACACACCGGTCGTGCTAGTGAAGCCGTAATAAATTGGCACGTTTGTTCATCACGTGACAACTTTCTCAATTGACCGTGTCGAATGTGTATGCATGAATGTTGAACTTCTTTCCCACCGTGAGTAGCCAACCATACTAATCGGAGGTACGGGGATGAGTGATGGTGTTGATGCCGATGATTGTGATGAGACTGATGTTGATGACGGAATTGGTGGCAGCAGCGATTGTAATATGGGTGATGATAGTGGTGAGGTGCGAGTGGTGGTGATGATGGCAGTAATAGGCTAATTAAATGGTGCTTATCATTTATTTACCTGACAATGCCGATGCCTTTGACGCTGATGAAGGTGGCAACCCAGAGGTTACATTCACACACTTTAACAGTTTTACTCTTGGAGTTTAAAATTGTTTGTTTTTTTCATAAAAAAAAACTTTAAGGCAGCAATTGTGTACTTATAAACATGTAATTCACAGCGAGCGATTTTATTGTTATTTATTTATACGCTAAGGTTTACGACACAGTTTACTTACGCATCATACACACACAGCGACCTATCGCGTCATACACACAGCGAACCACCACCGCTCATAAACACAGCGAACTGCCACATCACACACACACAGTGAACCGTCTGGGAATCTTAAACGTGAGAACCCACCACCTCCTCGGTGGTGGTGATGATGGTGATGACAAGAATGACGTCGAACAGAGACGCATCGTGAAAACGCACGCCCCTTCATATCACCTGGTATCGGCCGCATTACCGCTCTCGAACGTAAAAATAATCAACGCCTAAATCGCCAGCTCTCTCACCGAATTGAGCCGCTATGCTCACGTTTTCTAGGAGTTGGCACAAAATCACCCGGCACGCGCCCGATTTCGTCAGAGGTTGCAAGCCAAGCAAGAGCTTGAGCCTGCATGCCGAGTGGTGGATGGGGCGACCACCACGGATGGTACCTGTAAGGGCACTACGGCAAAATCCATTGATGAACTGAAATTCTAAGCTCCAAACGTCCCGTCTATGCTCCTCGCCTACACCAAGCCCTGGCTGACCAGCGTGGTAAAGTATGGTCCAATAACCTCCACGTCCCCCACAGCGTGGCGAGGCCCTCAACCGTCAGCGGCTTGAGACAAGGGGCGATGCGTGCATGCATCGAGACCAGTACGAGTGTGGGTCCCCGCCACCGTTTTGTGTCCTTGGGGTAGCATTAAGAAAATGTGGGAGGGTGCATTCTATTTATGTACTGACTGCTATTATACAATGAGCCACGTAATTAATTGTAAACACGCTGCACAGTGGCCAAACAGGTCGGTCCGCACCTGTCAAGAGCCGCCTCACAGGTGTGGCCCTGGAGATTTCACGACATACGTGAGAGCCAACAAAATGGAACCAATCGGGCCAGTCACTTAACTTGGCCGCACAACACAACACAGGGCTGACCCTCGGTACCTTCCGAGGAATATAATGTACAGGAGGCCACAGCGAACCTCTTCCCCCGCAACCTCCAGTGCTAACGATTTAGAGGCGGCACCGCTGGAATACTGGGTTCAAGTCCAGGCAGCAGCCTGTGATTAAACTGGGTTCCCAAGTGCAGCGAGTTACGAGTCTCAACATGGCCACCAATGACTGCACAAACCCGCCTCCCCGGCCCCCATCACATTCAATTTGGTTTTGAACTTAATTTGGCTTAAATTACAACTCTAATGGGACTCATTTATTTGTTGTGATAATTTTTGTTGTTGTTGTTTCTGCTTTTTGTTTTGGTGCCATTTTCTAATTTGTTTATTCATTTTACATTTTACTTGGTCGTAGCGTTTTCATTTTCTCGGTATGCACACGTGTGCGGGATGCTGTTGGCATGAATGACGCTAGTATTATTAATTAAAATTATCGGTTTAACTGTCATGCGGCGAACATTACTCTCGGTCTGAAAGTGTTGCCACCTATTGCGTGGACCCGAGGTCAGTGGAAGGAATCTCAGAGGCAGCTCTGCGAGATCCACTTCCGCGGTCCCGTCGCAATGCCCTGCCAGAGAACCGGATGGATTCTGTCTAATAGACGCGAAGCCTATAGAATAATCTGGGGGGAAAAATGTATATTTTTGGACGGACAAGCTGGTGCCTGAGCTCCCCAGACATACCCCTGCTGTCTGCATCCTCCGCATGCCCCGCGGGGGGAGCTCGCTTGCTCATCTCATTTACAGATAACATCAGATGCATTTAACATTCCTTTCACAAAATGCCTTATATAGTATAACAGGAGCAGTGAGCCCATGTTTACTCCCCTCTCTCACTTCAATTACCCTACATATAATTAAACACAAATAATAATTATTGGTGTTTTTGTTATTATTATTGAAGCTGCTGCAACGAGTCAAACATAATCCATTACGAGGTCAACAAATACCATTAATGATGTTGGCAATAAAACACTGCAAATCGAACTTTCAATTTTTGATCAAATGTCAAACATAAGGTCAACGTGGCCCCTCTTAGTCTGGGAGGTACAAGCGCTCGCACGTCCAGAGCGTGCACCCGCTGTTCCCCGAGTTGCACACCACGATCCCTCTCATCATCATCATCATCATTTGCCATGGTCCGTCCACTGCTGTGCATGAAGGCCTCCCCAGGCCACCGCCACCTCCCGCCGTAATCACCCTCGTGAGCCTCTTAATTCCCGCTCGACCCTCGGGGCTGCGGTGCAAGCACCGTGCGGCTGCTCAGCTGGAGAGGCTTTTGCCCAACGGCTTCATTGTGGCTCAAGGGGTTGGGCGAGTGCCTCCTAATCCAAGCTCCTTGAGTCCAGAGCTTCGCAAACTCCAGTCCTCGCGACCCACCACAGTCCAGCTTTCGAAGGTAACCCATTTACCTCTGGCCACTAAGCAAGCAGCACATGCCTGATGATTGTAAAATACGTTCCACGTGACTTTGCAGAGCACCAATTCGTTTTTAATAAGCGCTCTCTTGCCGTTCGCCATTTAGTCACGGTGATGTTACCAAGGCGGTTGTGCCAGGCTAGGTGCACGTTGAGGCCACGGGAAGTTTGTAAAGCTCACCGGCAGGAGATCACAGGACAGACCCAGGTGGTATGGGGTGACTGAGTTGACTGGCAGATGCACCACCCGTGCTCCCCACGATGCCAACTGTTGGCATATGGGACAAAGATGCTTTTAGCGAGCACCTATGAAGGCCATCACAGCACACGAGGAGGTGGGTGGCCAACACCACGCCAGACCGCCTTTGTCTCCCTAGTGACGACGATTACACACCGCACTAGGTACTCATATGAGGCTGAGTCAACCTCGGGGAGGCCCAGGACCGATTCAGATAATAGTCACTGGTGTTAGCCATGAGCAGGAATCGAAATCCGGTCGCCGGATTCAGAGCGCAGCATGCTAACCCCTACACTGCCGCTCCCCCCACACGTGGGACACACGTGGGACACACATGTACCGTACACAGCCCGCGTTTTGCAAAAGCAAAACATTACAGTAAGATTTGGTACAGTACACAAAATTCAAAAACTAGTATCTTGCACTAAAGACGCATTACCTAAACTATCAACAGAAGGTGTATATCGGATTAATTGTTCATGTGGCAGCTGCTACATTGGGCAGACGGGACGTAACATCAGCGTAAGACTAAAAGAACATCAGAGAAATATTAAATTATCTCAAACACAACTGTCGGCAGTGGCAGAACATGCCTGTCAACAAGGACACTCAATTGATTTTGACAATGTTGCAGTGGTGTGTAAAACTAATTATTACTGGCAAAGACTAATTAGAGAATCCATTGAAATTGAGAGGAACAAGAATAACTTTAATCGCTCTGACAGCTACCGGCTTAGTGCGGCCTGGAAGCGTATTATTAAATAATACACATTACATTTTGATTTAAAGAATTACTAATCTACAACTCATTACTAATCATTACCAATGACTGATTACTAATCGATTATATAATTACATTACCCCCCCCCCCTCCGCCTCTAATCACTGCACCTGATGAGTTAAGTGATGACGTCACCCTGCTGCTCTATATAAAACCGGGAGCAAGCGAGGGCTTTACCATTCTGGCGAATTGCCCGATGATGCTGGAAGTATTTACCAGCGAAACGTCGTACTCAAACTGTAAATGTGGATTAACTCTTCAACACACCGGTGGGCTGAAGTAGTGAATTATTTGTCTTTTGTCAACGTGACACTTTTTTTTTTACTGATTGGCCGTGTCGGGTGGTGGAGGGTTACGACACATTTATAAATAAACGCGATCTAACCCAAAAACCTTTATTATGAATAATATTGGTCGCGAAAGCCTACGTGTTAAACTGATATGTTGTATAGTACTGTGTTATTTTACTTACCTTCATAAGGATGTCATAAGCATATTCAAAAGTGAAAATGTCAATTAATAAATGAATATTATATGGTGTTATTTAAACTTATCTGTAATAATGCAACTCTTCTTTCTTGCTTGGGGGTTATGGGTAACGGTAACACAGTACACCTTTCCAGAAAATTTATAATTAAAGGTAATTTGTCGCAAATAGCCAAAACCTTGATTGTAAAACCCGCGAATGTTAAGGGTTTATGTATCGCATTTTGTTCTTTTCTGGTTTAAGATGTGGTGTTGCCAAGAGAACTAACCATCAACATGTATAAAGTTTCATATTTTACTTCCGATTGTTAGGTTTCCGGAAACCAAACGGGCATAGAGAGAGAATGTCAAGGTTTTCCCCTCGCTTTATGCTGGTTTGGTTTGTGCGATTTCACGCTATATATGCGGCCTAACTATTTCTACCCAAAATTCACAATAAGCGGTTTTAATTCACTCTACATGTGGCTATGCGGTCGGACTTGGGACAATGTTGTGCCTGTATTCTGTGTACTGTGTGTGCTGTACGCACTACTCGGCAGGCAGCTGTCCTTCTCGTGCAGTTTCGCTTTGTCGCGCCCATTTTTTCGGAAAGCATCTACTACTACTACTACCGCGTAGAGCGAGAGGAAACCTGTAAATTTAAGTTTTACGAAAATTGTAATGGCACTAAGTGTTGCTGTTAATGCGACGCGATTACCCCACGCACTTTGTTGGCAAGATTACGACCGGATGCACCCGCTGCGCCACATCTCCGTTGAACACAAACTGGAGCCACCTTGCAGCTAAAGGCGATTGCCCTAGGACAGCGGTTTCCCAACCTGTGGTCCCGCAGACCCCTGGTGGAACCAGTCAACCCTCATCAGGGAAATGTATAATTTCGTAGCATGTGGTGGTTCGCAAAAATTTTGGAGGTTGAAAAGGGGTCTGCACACTAAGAAAAATTATATTATTTTTCATCTCTAGCAGGTAAGGCCTACTGGGCAATTTAGCTCTTTTTCAGAAACGACCTGGCCACAAAAGGTAGCTCAACAAAGTGGCTGATATCATGTGGAAATTCATAGCAGCCAAATACACAATGTTTCTAAACGTGGAGGGAAAAACTGGAGGACCCGGAGAAAAATCCACGCGACCACGGGGAGAGAGACATGCAAACTCCACATATACAGGTGTTAGGGTCGAAATTGAACCCACAATCTCCTTCACACCATGCGAGGTAATTAACATCTCGCCAGCGCGGCGCCCTTCTCGCCATCGTGAAAAGGTTGGGAACGACCTCTCCACGGCACTGTAAATAACTAAGCACATGTACAGCGGCGGGGGAGCATTTCCGCGTTGTTTCGTTTCCAACAATATGAACTCGACGGTGATGTCAGTTCGATAGCCAATAACCACTGGCACCAGCGGCGAGTGACATCCCAACTGGTCCTGGATGTCCCCCCAACTTCCATGGCACATGATTCGCCATGCTGGTCCAACAGCCCCCATCACCCACACAGCGTGGGGAGGCCTTCACTCGGCAGTGGGTTAACACGCAATTATCATTTAATGTTAATTGCGCACACGCACACACACGCATTTGCTGCATATGCAGCACAGAGCATTATCACACAAACACCGCAAACACGATCGATACATGCAGCCCTCAAAATGTTTGGTTGAACAAAAATCTAAACCTTGACTTAAAGCATTCGTGACTGCAGGAATTCATACTCTTTGGGTCTTTCGGTAAAGTCACGTGGACGGAAAAATAATAAAATGAGAACACATTTCTTTTTCTATCTACGTGACTTTACCAAAAGACCCAAAGAGTAAAAATTTAAACTTCAACATACTGGGAACAACCACCGACTCTCAAACTCTGTATTGAAGATTTTAAATGACCCAAGCGCGCAGAGCGCTAGAGAAAGTGAAGGACAGACTTTAATGCACTTAGCTAAATGGCAACCCCCCCCCCCCCCCCGCCTTGCACACGAGAGCCACTGCAATAACCTTGCCTACCCCACAGGACGGCTTGGCCACCGCAGTGTGCCCCTACTGTGGCCGATTTGGGGAATGTCCCACGCACGTGCTATTTACCGCTCGCAGCTGGGCAACAACTTCTCCAGCGAGACTGCAGCTGCTGCTGCTGCTTGTTCACGAAGCCTGGAACAAAGACAAACACACACAAACACGAGCGTTCTGTTAACTTAGCCACAAGTACCAGCACCGCATAGCTCTTCCGTGTACCCAAAGCGACACTGGGCATCCGCAGCAAATGGCCACTTCCGTGACATCAGCCTCGCTGAAAACCACAGGTTAGGTTAATAATACACTTGACTTTTAAACCCCAATCATAAGAGACATATAACGGCCCTTTCTTATCTATGGCGAGGCAGTCAATCAATAATCAGCTCCCCAAACGTGTAGTCAACACTGCTTACCGCAAAATGGATTTTGAACTTGCCGAGAGTTTTTTTTATTTTATTTCATCCTTCCACCGCCGTGCTGCAATTCCAAAAAAATTAAGAAGTAAAAATCGCTCTCCTGGGAACGTACGATGCAGCACTTCTTACCGACCCACGGAGTGTTAGCTCCGCCGTGGCAAGTTTGCGGTGGAGCGGGCGAGGCGCGCAACATGGATCGAGACGCGTCCCGTCCGCTCGCTCGAGTTCCCTTGCCGGCTCTCGGGTTAACGAGCACTCACGTCGCACGCTAACACGCCCCCCCCCCCACCTCCCCACGTGAGAGCCACGCACGCGGCTGCGCTAGCCCCGCTCGCTCGCAGATGAGAGGGGCACGGCTCGGGGATGGGACGGCGGTCGTTCTATTCCGTGCCCCCGTTGCGCAGGAAGTGTGTAATTATGGCACGTCTCTTTTGGTAAACACTTGGCCCGAGGATGGTGTGGGAGTCACGAAAGCCAACGGTCTTGGCCACCGATTGTGACAATGTTCGCAGCGTGCCGAGGCAGGATAACGCCTTTTAATGTATTTTTGGGGAGTGATTTGAGATGTTATAAAGTTGTTTAACAAGCGTGGTGCCCCCCCCCCCCGCCCCCCTTCGATTTGGAAATTTGAACAAGTGTAATTTACGTGACACACTTGGTGAGGAGCAAAGGACAGTGCAGTAAAATCCATTGCTGTGATATACTTCTATGTTCCCACCTCTACATCCGCCACCTTCTTCACCCGGCAATTGCTAGACGCGGTGCAGTACGATCCAATAACACCCACGAGACCGCACGGTGTGTGGAGGTGATCATCCAGCAGTAGATTCAAAGAAGGGCTGCTTGTACATGTACAAGAGACACGAGTGTGTTTGCCTGTTACATGGCAAACACTCAGTGCACAGAAACGGTATTAAGTGACATAAACAGAGCAAACAAACAGGTGCTTCATATCATACACCCAGTCTGGTTGTAATATGGATTACATTACGTAACACAAACAATGCTTAGTGAAAAGCAATACCCTTTCCGCTAAACAGAAAACAATGTTGAGAAGCATTATTCTACGTCAATCAGCGTGCGAGATATACATCACACTCCAGTTTTGCTTTCACGTCTTATCCAAACTTCCGTACAATTGAAATCGTTCATTTCATCAGCAAAAGCCACACCGAGTCTCTGGTCTCCTTTTCAGTTCACGAAAAGTGCTTAGGCATGTGGATAGGAAACTGGCATGGGGGGGAAGGGGACACTGAAACCCCCTCCCAGTCGGGTTTGCGAACCCACTTGCTCTACTGCTACCTCATTCCTACCCGCCGCACAGCCCAACGCATTTGGGAGATTCACACGCACCCCCACGACCTGCTTACTACTGCCCAGGTATTACGAACACACACCCCTACTCCCTGCTTACTACTGCCCAGGTATTACGAACACGCTCCCCCCACGCCCTTACTATGGCCGATGCAGCAACAGGAGTGCTGTGCTAGTTCGTAAATTCGCCAAGCCCTCAGATAATAAAAGCACCGATAATTGCGCACACTTGAGCCAACTTACACACGGAGCTTCGGGTCACATTTTCCCAGGCTTCGAAGGGTCCTTTACCATTGTTCACCACCCGTGACTTTCAAGAGCCTAAGCACCCACCCTGGCCCATCAATGGATTAATTCCGATCAATACCATTATGGGAGGCTTTCAGCAACGCATGCAGGCGGGGATTCCCGAGGCCCTTCACGCATGTACCACCTTCTCTCTCTCTCTCAACGAGGGCGCACTTCAATAAAACCACTTAAATCCAGTTTTGTGCATCTTCTTGCGTCTCTGCCTCTGTGTGCAAGTACATGGCCTTAGGAGATCCTCCTGCCCCTGACAATCTTACAGTAACGTACTCCATACTGTACAGGAAACACTTGACTTTGTTTTTTGGTGGTGCAGTGGTTTGCACACTGCACTATGAACCCTGTGACCCGAGCTAATTTCCTGACCACGGCTAACATCGGTAAAATTTGGTATTACAACTTGTCCTGAAGCGTGGAATAGAATTTGGGTCGCAGGGTTCGTGGCGCAGCGTGCTAACCACCGCACTCCCGCGACCATCAACACAGACGCACGTGCACACGTCAAGGACCAGCTCTTCTAACCCGCGATGCCGGTGAACCGGCTGCCCACCTCACCCACAATAACTAATTCATGCGCGCCAATGCATCAGCATTTACAGGCGCATTGTAAAGTCCGGCCTGGGAGCATCGTCAGTGGACCTGGAGCCACCGTCGCTGTTGGCGGGCACCTGCCAGGCTCGAGCGGCACACCCTGCGCTATTTAAAGTGTCGGCAAGAACACGCAAATCGCGGCCACGCCATAGTTGCGGGGAGCCTTACCGATCACCATCATTCAGGGTAGCCGGGCAAAAACAGAACGGCACATTTGAGAAAACAAAGCATAGTTTGCGCACTGAGTTCCTCAGCTTTCATGATAATAATCATTATTATGAAGTCAGGCGGGTCAAGAGACACTGCGATTCTGACTTCCTGGATTATTACTGTGACCTACTGGATCCTGTCCTGACGAGGCTTGACACAGTTTCAGACTGTAGATCGTATCGAATTGCGTAATTTGGTTGTGAGAACTGTTCGTCAACTTAGCGGTGAGCGATGTGAAACAATAATTACCGGAGCTCTAAAACGCTTGTACATCGCTTGACGATTTATTTTATTTGACTGTGTTGAGTGCTGCGGGGTTCTTAATGACATGGATTTGGTCAGATCGTGAGATGGCCTAACCCAAAAAATATTATTAGGACTTATAATATTAGCTGTGAAAACCTGCGTGTCAAAACTTTTTCAGGAGGGTTATAATATATTTTCAAAATCGGGGGGGCGATTGCGATTATTGCGATACTTTCCTTTTAAGTAAAATGCGAATAATCTTTCAAATTTGGCAAATTCGGACCGTGACATCGGCACACATGGCTTACTCTTTTTTTGAATAACGTGAAGGGATCTTGAAAAGTCCAAAGTAAAGCATGTGGCGCGTAATACTTTTGTTTTTTGGGTGAATACACAAGCAGCAGCAATGAGGGGGCGGCCATAGGCTCAACAAAGGCGGATGTGCATTTATCCACGGGCTATTCCATGAAGCACCATTCAACATTTTGCACGATCACCCTTCTACTACCAACAAAGCGAAAGTGACATTCTCTTCACGCTCACCCAGCCCGTTAAAAGTACAACCAACAATGGCAATAAAACTGTTCAATTTGCGCTGATTAACATGCTGACAGTGACAGCGACATCTCAGAAAAGAAGTCTCATAAAAAATATATCGAAAGGTAAACACTAAGCATGCAAGGATATCTCAACCCCAGCATCAACAGCGATTTTATGAATTGTTAAGATTCATGGTTACAATTGAATTCAATAAATTATTGGTCTCGTTGTATCCACCACGTATGTTATTGGTTTCCTTTCTCGTCTCATTTGCACAGTCATATTTGCTCCATTCACCAAAAAATTATATTTGCACAAAACGAAAATGAATAAATTCTCACGCACAACTCAACGCAATTATCGCGTGCGTGAGAATCGATTTAATCCATAACTACATGCACGTTTGTGGTCTTCTGGATTAAGCTGCGTGTGTGAGCACATCTTTTCAACTCCTGAAGAGGCCCGCAGTAAGTGGTGCGTGGCAAAAGGTTGAGAGAAAAAATTCTCGACACAGGGCGCCAACCCGGAGTAGCACGATTGAATTAAAGGCTGCACAAAAACCCTCCGTGCCGAATCGATGCATCGTTACACGCCGAGCAGGTACGTCTCTTGCAATTCCAGAACTTTCTACCAATCCTGGGACTCCCTTGCACAAGGATATCGATGTCAATATTGTACACAACAGCTATATCGCATTTATATTACCTGTAATGTATTTTATAAATATGTCATTTTATTTATAAAGGCATATTCAGGACAAAGGCCTCACCGAGCAGTTAATAGGATCATAATAGGTATCGAAATTTAATAGTTATGCAATTTTACTATTTAACTAAAATTCCACCCAAAATATTTGCCTTTGTTTACAATGTAGTTTAGTTCTTAACACCAAGCTCAGTATGTTTTATTTCTACTACTTTTATCGAACTTTAATTTGCAATTCATGTTTTGCAATTCACATCACAGAGTGCACTCTCATTGCCAGGTATTGCTAAAAGATCAATTTAGTGTTTCTAAGAGACCTCTTCTGTGTTATTCGTATCCACAGATAAAACAAATAATGGGATGAAATTTCCATCACTTCCAGGTCACTCCTCTTATCTGTAAAAAAAAACATTTGAATTGAAAAAAAAACATCTACCCTAGGTTAAATGCATTTTTGGGGATCAATTGGGGCCACAAGTAGGATTTAAAGGAAATAGGGCCCTCAGATAAGAGCAGTTTGATTACATAGTAATTTTGGAAATGTAGCCTGAATTATGTGATGCTTTGCTCAGGAGCCCTAGAGTGTGTAGTTGACCGTAGCGAACATGGAATCCATCATGAACACCGACGTGCAAATAAAACTACGGCAGCTGCCAATGGTAACCACTGTCCACTCGAACTCGTAGAAAGGATACATTCTCATCATCTGACTATTTCTGCACAATAAAGGACAAAGATCCCTACAGAGCCTAACAGACTATTGAGGCAAGTGATTCGAGTGAGCACATTAACAGCCGACGCAACACGCGCAAGGGGATGGTGTGGTCAGAAGAACACCCGGCCACCTTTGTCTCCGCAATGCTGACGTATTACACACCGCAGCAGGTACTCATTTAAAGCAGTCGACTTAAGGGAGGACTAACGACATAATGGAATAACGCAACGGTTGTACAATATGGAACGATCATGAATGTATGTGTCTGGGTCCAATGAACTTGATACAGGAATCGCAGCAAATCAGATTATCGGAATCAAAATAAACTGCAGACTATTCTTGATGTATCACTTTAATCCATGCATGTAGTGCAACGTAGGTGAAAACTATTTACAGCCTCAGCATATCTGCTCGAGTAACACTATCATCTATGGTAATTGGCAGCATGTGTAACATGTGCACAACGGAACATAGATGGACTCGTCCATCTGAATAACTGCCAAATCGCTCTCCGTGGTGCTAACGTATTTAAAAAAAACCGCCACTTTTTTCAAATTTTCTTGCTGTGGTTTTCACACCTGATGACGATTGCTTGTGTTGCAGTCGAAATGTCGTGAGAATTTTATTGTTTTAGATTTTTTTATTTTATTGTTTCCCTTCTACGTGACTTTACCGAAAGAACCAAGAATATGTGCACAACCATTATCTTCTCCACGGGAAAGCCTATCGACTGAAACTCTGCGCCTGCATTCACACCAACTATTCAAATTACAGCCACTTACATTCGTTTCATCCACAGTGCGGGAAATGGAAAAACTGTGATGGCAGCCCAATAGAAGAGGGGGGGGGAGAATAGATTCTCACATGGCCATCTCTAAGCACATGCGGGATTGGAAAAATGAAACATGCCTACAGACGGCATTCAACGATATGCGCTTATAGAATCGGTTGAGTGGAAATTGGAAAGCCTGGACAAGACGTACAAGGGATGTTATGGTTTCGGGCACCCGGCTCAGATGCCCGCAGGGGAAATGATCGCGT